CCCCCCTTTCAAGCCTCACGTGATTAATGGACGGCCCCTTACCTATATTTTAGGTTGGTAAGCGGCCGCGCAAGATAGGTCGGATCCTCGGTGTCAGTCGATAACCAGTTTCGTTTACTATCAAACGTTATGATGATTTCGATACCTATTCTGCAGGAAGTTTGGGAAGACCCAGAAAAAGAACGTTGGGACCAACGTTTTGGTTTAGGTCAAACAAAGATTGTCCGACTCGTAAGATTACGAGATTACGACTCGTAATTTGGGGTCGATTGATGAAATAAATAGTCTTAATGTTTTACGAGCGAATTGTGAAGTAAATTCGTCCAGTAATTTTTGGGTAAAGAAGTAAAGAATATACCTACAAACTTTCGCCTTTATAATATTAGTAGGATAAGAATATAATCAGTATTATTATAATGTCTGTGATACTGTCAAAGCTTAAGTGAAGCTTTTGGTCTACTTCGCGAATATGTATACACTATTTTTGACTATGATATAATAATGATTGACAAATTGAAAACATGTTATATAATGGTTATCAGTGGACGTTTAAATTGATATGAAAGGAATATTTTTTTTGTTTCACTCGACGGTATACTCTTGACCTTGTATCTGGGCGGTCGTTGTAACTCTTTTTTTCCTTAATCAACTATTCTCTTATTAGTTTGGTTATAAGATCTTTTGGTGTGATTTCTCTGAATTCAAAAGAAAAAATAACCTTCTTACGATAAATTGTATTTTAAATAAGCTTCAGAATAGGTAATTGCGTCATTGTTTATGTTTTGCATTTTAATGGATTTAGGTTTTCACGTTAAGTCAAACTAAAAAATTATAATTGACACGATGAGTGCGGAATCGGGTTTGAAACATCATTGAATAGGCACAATAAATAAATAAATAAATATCGGACAACATGACACACATTGATCCGATTCCGAAGTTAGTAGCTTAAGCACTTTTGTTTCGGATATCAGAAACAACGGGGGGAATACAAATACATAATATAAATAGAAAACACACAGAACAGACATAATTGTAAATCACAAAAATGTTTGTCCTGGGTGGGGATCGAACCCACGACTCTCAGCGCAATAGTAGGATTACTTTTGCTTACAAAATTTTTGATTTACAAATGGATCCATTTTTCTTCATGGTAAAATTTTTCGGCTCGCACTAGTCTTCTAGTGCGCCTCTTACATAGAATATCATTTTTTCCCCCAAAGTTGCATAAAAATTATACATGAAATTTTTATTTTTATAGTACCACCAACATTTATAACAATTAATTTATCAATTAATGTATTCAATACATTAACAAAGTTAAAAGACATACTTTGTAAATAGATAATTAAACTGAATAGCATTTTAAAAGCATGAATATGTAATGTATAAAAAATGATTATTTGGCTGAATGTTTTTGTTTTTAATGCATACGGGTCTTAGCATATAGATTCTAACATTTAATTCATTGAAAAGCATGTAAACTTTTAGGTACTATTGATTTGCAATTTAAAGCACATTTAATTATACACGATTTGTGAGTTATCGACTATTTGATACCAAAATAAATAATATCTTGTACAGGTCTCGCTTGTGGTGCGGCAAGGCAATATATAAACCTCTCTGTCGTGCGAAGTGTGTTCAATGTAGGAAAGGGATTTTATATATATCGAATGTTCCACTGATCCCTAGATTTATATTACATACGAGATTTTTTTTTACCATTGATTAAAAGAAATTTTGACTCAGGACGTAGCAAATTTGTAAAGGCCTTGTGTTTCCGCGGACCGAAAGGATTACTTGTGATAGATAATATCAGATTTTCACAATATCGATTCGAAACATATATCGATATTCAATATCGGACTCTGAAACTATATATTTTTTTGAAACTATATATGTGTGAATTGATCTATATTCGGTAACTTCAAGCCATCTTGAACACAAACGCAAACAAGTATCAAAACAAAACAAACAGCTTCACACTTGCTTATTTAGCACGGGAAAATAAACCGGCGTGCGATTAATTACATAGCATGCATATTCATAAGGATGGTCCTATCGTATGCTTAGTATACTTCACAAAATGAAATCTATTAAAAAACGTGCCAAAATACACAGAAAACTATGGAAATAACCTTAACTCTAATACCTTAAAGTTTTGAATCCTAAGAATATTTGAATATTGCTATTTCACTCACAAAACCAAACACTTGTATCGATTCAATTCTATTACGATGCGATACAGTTTGATATCCCATATCTATAAGTATCGGATATCGAGCGAAATACCGATTCCGACGTACGGTATCGATGCAGAAATATATAGTTTCTGTGCGCATCGATATCGGATAATAAATAATAATAAATCTTTATTTCACTTTTAAAATTACAGACAATGGTGACTATTTTAAGAAATTACAAGGAAATTTATGTAACTTAGTAATATGAGCCACATCTCCCAAACTAGGGTCAACCTGTATTTTGGGAGTTGCGATTCCTCCAAAATCGTTTATTTATATATCCTTGAAACCATTTTTTTTTTTTATAGTGATCAAGCTTGTATATTAGGTATTGCTATACTGATACAATATACGTTTCAATATCTTTATACGATTTGTATCATCCACTCCTAACTCTATCATATGCTGGTTTTATTTATTGTATGCAAGACAGCGCTACTTATAGGGCGATATTGCAAGTCATGTCGTAAAGCTGCCAAAAACGTTACACATGAAAGACAATAGTCAAGATACGGGTAAATAAATTAATAATGAAACTTACAATTTTATACTTCACGCGACGTGACTCTCTTGATTAGTTCGGTGGCGCCCGCGATCGTTGGTGTTAAGCAACTTTCGCAAGGGTCGGTCACGAGATGGGTGACCAAAAACTATTCGGACAGCACTAAGCACTAAGCCGTATCCTCCAATCTCATTGGGCCTGTGTGGCGGGTCATGGCCCATCCTCCTTGACCATCCATAAGGAAGGCTCAGGTCTTCCATCTACTTTAGTGGGAACATAACAGGGCTGATAATTATGGAGACGGTATATGTATAGTGTTAAAGTGCAGATTTTTATCTAGTTAATAAACAATGCTTCTATTTAATTCTAGTAACGATATGTATACATATTATATATATAAAAATATGCTTTACTTATGTATGATCGGCCGCCACGAAAAAATAAAAAGAGTTTCCTAGAATTCTTATTAAAAAAAGTATTAAAAAATAATGTTCGATACTGGTTGGGTGCCGAGACGAGAACGTGAACATACAATCATTGATCGTTACGCTTCGTAGAATCACAAAAAGTACAAATAAAAAATATTTCAGTGTATTTGTTTTCAATGTAGATATTGTTGTATTAAGGAATTCCCCGTATGAGCGTTGATATTTTTGGTTGTTTTTAAACACCAGTGTAGTTTTATCTTTTTAAGGTTAATAATAAAATAAATATCTTTTGAAAATGTCATTTCTTTCGTCGTTTCTTCCTCTTTCCTTTGCGAGTGGCGAGAAGGGGATGGATTATAGGATGCAGGGCCAACCCTGCTCCTATGAGCTGGGTTGGCCCTCGCAATGCGGCTGTGGAGCTGTCGCCCGTCTGCGCGGAACACATCTTCATGGGGGTTGATTCGTGCGGTATCCTCACATAATTATCGGCATCATAGGGGTGTGAGAGCCGCGGTTTGTGGCGCTACAACAGCGAATGCACTCCCCTGCGTCATTGATCAGTTCCCCTCTTGCTATGCGAAACATGGTCGATGAAGAATCGATGGATATGTTAATACGGAGCATAGATCGATGAGTATAATTATATTGTTGTACGTTCTAAGAGTTGTTAGGTGGCATGTCCGTAAATTACATTTCAACGGCACATTAGTGCTGTCAAATGGTCGAATAAATAGGTGAATAAACAATTAATAAACAATTTAGCCGCTTTAGTGACAGTGTACTTTACGTGTTTGTGAAGTATTAATTTGTCCTCAAATATGATGACGATACTTGAACTCATCTATAATGAAACATGTGTTCCAATAGCAAATGAACTCGGCCTGGTATTTTAATGTCTATAATTCAGTTATTATTAAAAGAAGAATAAGAGTTGTTGCGGCTGCTTACAATTTTCGAAATTCAAATATTAAACTGAAACCTATTTTTCTATGGAAAATCAATAAGGTTGAAAACATTAGGAGTCAATTCTTACTTTGGAAAGCAAATTACTTGAATAGATTTTTATATAATCCACTTTGTCCCCGGCACCTTTCGCAATACCTGGACAGCTCCAACCACTGAGCTACCCAGAACCCAACAGAACCGACGAATTCTTCAAGCACTTATAACTTTTTCGCATCTTTCATTAAGGTTTTTTTTTAAGCATTTATCATTAAGAATATTTTTCAGTATGGCATATAATAACAATATATTAATCAAGTTAGTCATCTGAAATTTTAGTCCTGTGTTTTTAGAAATCTTAACTATTGTATTTATTTTATATAAAAAATCAACATAGCGGCTTTAGTGCACTATTTTATCAAATATAATGTAAAATTAAATTAATACATGCAGTGACATTCTAGCCTTTTTCAATTGATGGTTTTACCAATAATCTATAGGTACTTTTTGATAGTTCATTAAAAAAAAAGATAAATTAATTTTGTCAATAAATATAGGTAATTTCTATACAAAAGTGCTCTATTTTAATGTACCATAGAACTGTATAATTAAAAATATTTTGACTAAGCTAGATTACTATTCTCTCAGTGTGCTAGACCTCAGACAAATTAAATGCTCTATATTATTATAACTCGCGTTAACGGAAATATAAACAAGTAATCCACTGTTATTAAGCTTAATCGATAAGTAGGTACCTGGTACCTTGATAATAAAAAAGTGCAAAAAAAGAGCGACGCAAAAACTGAAGACGCTAACCAATATTTATTCTCTGCCTATTAAGTTATGACATAAGCTGGTTTGTATATAAGCCGTGCTTGTGCAGCGATGTGCACAGTCGGTATTATGGCACGTTTTGCGATATCAGCCCTGGCTTTGGGCCTTGTTGCCTGCGCATACGCAGCTCCAGGTAAACACGCTAATGATGTGTAAATAACAATATGTAATAACTCTATCATTTTAAATTGGTGCATTGTTTATTTTATATTTAAAAATGCCATTCAACTACATAGATCCTTGTAAATGGCTTTTAGGAGTAAACTAATATGAATATAATATATTTATTCCTTCTCTAATATATTTTTTTATCTGTTTTAATTTAATTTAAATCTGTCTTTTAATCATCTTAGTATATGTTTGTCTAGAGTTATATCCGTTATTTATTCTTCCTTATATTGCACCTACCACCCCCACACTATCCATTAAGACTTCTTTTTCTCTCCATTGGTTGCCCGGAAGAAATTGCTGCACAGCAATAAGGCCGCCATTTGTGTTCTGTTTCTTCTTAATATAATTTTCCTGTAACCTGTGTTATATTGAGTGCAATAAAGTGTATTATTATTATAATTTGTTCTAAAGAAGTAATGTATATTGAGTATAATATTTAAGTTTGTAGCATTCCAAGTATTTATTATAATGGAAATGATACGATATAAATGAATCGTAATGAAAACAAAAAGTTTTTTAATATTATTTTAACTTACTTTCTTCTTGATTCAGTTCACATAAGATTTTTTATACTTTTCAGGTTATGGTGGTGGTAGCAACGGCGGTGGTGGCTTCGGCGGCGGTGGCGGTGGCGGTGGCGGTGGAGGCTTCGGAGGAGGCGGCGGTTTCGGAGGCGGTTTTGGAGGCGGTAAAGGGAGCGGTGGTGGCGGCGGCTTCGGAGGCGGCGGCGGTGGTCTAGGCGGCGGCCACGGAGGCGGCGGTCTGGGCGGCGGCCATGGAGGCGGCGGTCTGGGCGGCGGTGGACTCGGTGGCGGTTTGGGCGGCGGCCATGGAGGCGGCGGTGGACTCGGTGGAGGACATGGCGGCGGCGGCGGACTCGGCGGTGGTGGCGGCCTTGGCGGTGGTGGTTTGGGCGGTGGCCATGGAGGCGGCGGCCATGGAGGCGGCGGACACGGAGGTCATGGTGGATTCGGTGGTGCAGGTGCATCTGCCAGTGCTAGCGCCGGTGCCGGTGGATACGGCGGTCACAAGGGCGGTTACGGGTAAGAGTTTTATCTAATTCATTTAGGCTGATAGAGGATCAATCCGAACCGTAAGAAACGGATTTTCTTCACACCACGCAAATGAATGACAGGCGACATTATAATTTTGATGATTGGCGTATTTCTTCCTTTAGTGATTTAAGATTTATATAAACCACAGAAAATTGCTTTCTATTTTAAAATATTTTGCATCATTATTATCGGCCTTTTAATATTCCCACCACAAGGGGGCACAAACATAGGACGAAAGGATTGAAAATAACCATGCAATTGCAAAGTATCTATTCTATTCTAAATATCTATTCTATTCTATTCTATTCTAAAGATTAAATAACATCTATAACACATCATGTTTCTTGTTTCAGACGCTAACCGTCGCAGATCGGATCTTGCCAGTATTTACATAAGAAAATAATCCAAAAGCTCAATGTGATATAAATATTATAATGTGTTTTGCCATAAAATTTTGTACATAGAATATATGTATGTAAATTTACAATACAATATTTTTTACTTAAGTATTTTGTTTCCTTATTATTACGTTTATACCTGGGTAATATTTTAATAACATTTTGTTTTTAAGATGGCTACTGTGACGACTCTAGTAAATATATATGTCAAGTTATCATAAAACGTTAAAGTTGATTTTGGACTTTACTAAACATTTATAAAACAAATTAAGAAATTTATTTATGTTATGTAAAACCTGACGTGTTGTTGAATACGTCAGGTTTTACAAAATTGTTAAATTTCCAACTGCGACTCGCCGGGACTACTAAGCTGATGGCCAGCATCCACTAGTTGGAGAGGCACTTTAAGGAGAAAAAGAAGTTGTTGAATAATTCAATAGTATCGGATGCACGACTTTTCTCTTACTTCGAGATTTTCAAAAAGACCCCCCAGGGTGAGTGGAAGAAAGGACGACCTTCTTGTTGTGGGTACGATGGACATGTCCATAAGCTTAATAGACTGTGACGTCACAGTTTCACTGTCTATTGTTATCGATAGGCTGTTTTGAGTAAAGGCTATTATAAAGTTGATGGTTAATTTAAGGACCGCAATGCATGGAATTAATAGCTTTCGCTTTGTTCTATAAAGACTAATTATATGTTCAACCTATGTCCTACAGACTTTGAAAGTTGTATTTATTATTGTGATCATACATATTATTTTGATAATGACATGACATGAACAAAATGTTAATGTCTTTACTTATAATAAAGAGATGGTAAGTTTCTTTCGCTTGTTCTTTTTGTCAGCTAAAAGACGCCCTGAACAAGTGGTAGGGGAAAAAAATTTTGGACGATTCAAAAGCGCTTGTAATAAGCTTACTTGAATAAAGATATTTTCATTTCATTTCATTTTAATTGTAAAAAATTGGGTCTGACTTAATCATAATGCTCAAAAAGGGTTTATAGTCAAATTCAAAACTGGTTCACGACTAGCGTTTGGTCATTAACGAGTTCGTACTCCAACTCGCTTGATCGGTTTCGAGTGGCTGTGACCATAACCTTTGTTGAGGACTCCGTGTCACGTAGGGAGTGTAACTTCTATTAAATGTTCATTCACAGTTTGGCGCATTCTGTGAATACTGTATAAATATAGTAGCTGGGGTCCACTGAAACAACGGAATACGGAAAGTAGCCAACGAAAAAAGAAAATTTGTCAGTAGTTGTGTGAGCCAAGCTCACTTGTACTGTACAGTAACGCAAGTCAGCTAGGTTAACGTAATTATAATAACCGTAAATGTAATACTGTAACAAACAAAAAGGAATATACTCGTATAAAAAGTTCGTATGGTTACCTAAATAATAATATTAAAATAGTTAAATAGAAGACTTACAAACCCTTTTTCTTCGGGTTTAGTGAGTAATTTAACTTTATTGTATTTGATTTAGTATACATTTTTGTTGAGTTCAAAGTCGTGAGAATAACGGAAACAGGTGATTATATAAATAGATTTTAACACTTTTTTTTACAACAAATTGCTATTGATTGTAATTGAACAAAGTCGTAGTCTAGAGCGAGGGTTCATTGAAAGACTGAAGTTTCGTTATACCATTTATTTTATGGTAACATTCAAAAGCCTTACGTTAGAAATCACAAATGTATATATAAATCCAATACAATCATATCGCGATTCAAAATGGCAGTGCGGCATCTGTTAAGCAAAATTAGAATTTATTTATCTATGAACATTTATGTACTAAATTATCTTATATTTTCATGGTATATGTAAGTCTATTTATTGTTTATTATTATGGAATACATGTTTTAATTATTTATATTTTATTTATGTAGGATATGAACACTAATTTAGTATGTATAATGTTTCGCACTCGACGAATTTTCACGAACTGACATTCATAAAGAGCATATATGGTTACTCAAAATTTCAGATTACGAAAAGCGAATAATAATAATAATAATAAAAGACAAAAAGTTTGCATGCGGATACCTAGGACGAAATAAACGGTGGTACGGCACACCGATACAATACTATCTAATTCTATGTGCTAAGTAGTTGATATTCTATTGAGATGCGACTTTTATATAAAAATTAACAGAATTAGCCTGCCGCATTATTCATGCATATTAATGAAACAATTGTTAAAAAACATAATAATATTTAGTCATTATTTAAAATCAGATAAACAAAAAGATCAATTCAAAAGAATAACACTCAAAGTTGGCATTGCAAAAAAGTTTTACAAACTACGTGTGGACTTTTTGGTGATTAAACTGAAATCAAAAAGCTACTGACATAACCCTCTCATAAAATTTAATAATAATAATAAAAATTAATTAATTATATTACTATACATTATCAATTATGCGCTCCACGATAAGCTTCTTCTAATTCTTTTAATAATTGGAGAGGATGAATACTCAAGATGAAAATGAATTCAAATATTGTCAGAGTTATGAATTAAAGACAATAATAAATCTATGTGAAAGACAAATACCGAAACGTGTGAAATAAGTTTTTTTATTAATCTAAAAATTATGCGAGTTTCGTATTAAGAAATAATTCTTATATGAAGATATGATCATAAAACGATGATATATTAACAAGAAAATAGCACGATTCACTTTATCTGCTATTTTGACGCTTTGACGTTATAAAGTTGTAAGATAGAGTTGTAAGTGGTCACCTGATCACATATTTTTCAATTGCCCAAATAATTCTTGTTACCTTTATGATATTTTACCCTCCAATATTCCTCGCCCTCTTAATAGCAAGTTTGTTCTTCAGCCAATTAGTGATGTTTCTGTAGTTAAATCTCTAACTATATTTTTCAGTATCAATCAATTAAAACTTTAACATCAGTGGTGTTATCTTTCGCTCACTTTTTTTTTAACACAATTAATTAATTTAATAGTGGTCTGTGGTTAGACTCATTATGATTATGTTTAAATCATTGTGTATATAAAATTATTTCTTAATTAACGTATTAAAATCGTATTAACGTATTAAGATGTTTTTGGTAAATCTATGTAGTAAGATAGAATTGGTAATTCAAAATTGTTTTGTTGAATGAATGTATTTAAATCGTGTAATGGTCTCCTACGTGAAGCTGGCAGTAATGTGGTGACGCAAAGTGCCATTAAAGTTAAGAAGAAGAAGAAGAGTTGTAAGTGACATATGCGGCACATGTTTGAGTCCTTGTTGTGATCAAAAGACGGTACGCAATATAATTACATCAGAGTTCTATCGGGAGCAATCGATTATTTTCTTCCGCATCACGGCCAAGTCACGGCGTGAAGCTTAGTATACTATTTATACATCTTTTTATTAATAATATTCAATATAAATAATGTTGTTAGAGTCTCTCATGTTGATGATTTATTAGTGTTAGACAGACATAAGTAAGTAGGTACTATGAAATAATATATTTTTTTAACATTTTACTTTGAATTCTAAATCACATCAAAATAGAAATAAGTTTTAACAAACTTCAATTTATCTGAAGGCTTTTCGTAAATACTCCAATTATCAAAATTTGGCAATTGTATATGAACGAAATTAATAATCTATTCTGTAATAGAATTAAATAAGATTACAAATTCGAAACCTTTAGAAGATAATAGTAGATCCCCTTACACGAGGTTGGCCTATTTTTTTTCTAAAATAAAAGCAAAGGAATCGTAACCAGTCTTAAGATGTCGGTGAGATCATCACCAACCGTGAACTAAGTCCGACAACTTTTTGTTACATTTTTTAATAACACTTGGCGTTCTGTTTTCCGATACGGCTGTGTACTTAATGATAAAAGCTATTACGTATGTTGGATAGTAACGAACACGAATGTTATTATTACTTTTTGTATTCTAACTGACTGATTTTATGATTTTTGAGTTTATTTCCAGCTAGATTCTATGATTCTATGTAGTGTCGTGTTGTGCAATCTTAGAAAAACTCAATCAATTAAGCAATCTTACATTTGTTTTGATTTGATAAGCATATCAATATAATATGACAATTGCGAAGGTATCTGTTGTAGTGTCCGATCGAATGTTCGGTTTCGGCTTCGGTGGTAAACATACCGAAACTACGACTGAAACCGAAACTGCATTCTCGCGCTCTGTTTGATCATATTTGGCGCAGAAGTTTCTATCCGCGACAGAAATGCCGCGGCTATGAGTGGAACTAAAAGAATAGATCTGCCATATCGTCGTTGGCACGTGTTGTACATGTATTTTTGGTTGCTAGTTGTGTGTTATTATAGCTTTGTGATTTAAAGATAAGAAAATAAAGACTGACTGAATATAACATTTTGTCATAATGAAATGTTTAGGACTTTCTATTTAAAGACTAGAAAAAAAATAGAGTGACTGATTATAAAAACGTTTTCTTAACTTTTCTCTCAAAATATTATCTTTGTGTGGAAGTTTCAGTTTCGGTAGGACATTAGTCTGTAGTGTAGCAGCCGGTTCCTCTACGTCTCTATTTGTAATGTCTCGCGTTCGATTCCCATCTATTGTGGTACCTTCGTTTGCGTCTATTATTTGAATGAGTGAAATGTCGGCTTAATTTTATCATATCCATATAATGTTGTTGTTTATGTAAGAATGATCAATAAATGACGCATTCTAAATATATATAGGGAGATTAACAAAGACAGATAAGTATATTTAAATAATTTATTAACTTAAGAATTTAGTAATATGGCCTTTGGAACATTTTCATATAATTTTTCTGTTTTCATTTACCATAGCCTCCGGAGGAGCTACTTGAGGCTGAGGCTTTAGCACTAGCGGACACATGAACGCCTCCATATCCACCTGATCCACCACAACCTGAGGTGCATCCGCTACCTCCACTGCCTCCATATCCACCAACTGAACCAGAAGTTAGCCCACCTCCTAAGCCTCCGCCATGACCACCTCCTAAGCCTCCGCCATGACCTGCTCCTAAGCCGCCGCCGTGTCCACCACCTAAGCCTCCTCCTCCTCCTCCTCCTCCTCCTAAACCATTCCCGGACCCGCCTCCTAATCCACCGGTATATCCGCCTCCACCGAGTACATCACCATGTCCAGATGACCCACCACTGCCATGGTTAAAACCACCTCCTGACCCACCGCCGCCTAAGCCTCCACTTCCTCCGTGGCCCCCTCCTAGGCCACCACTGCCGCCGCTTCCTCCGTGGCCCCCTCCTAGACCACTGCCGCCGCCGCCTCCGTAGCCACCACCACCACCACCTGCGCTACCGCCGCCAAATCCACCGCTTCCCCCGTGGCCCCCTCCTACGTCACCACTGCCACCGCTTCCTCCGTGGCCCCCTCCTAGGCCACTACTGCCACCGCTTCCTGCGAGGCCCCCTCCTAGGCCACTGCTGCCGCCGCCTCCGTAGCCACCACCGCCACCAAATCCACCGCCTCCGCCTAAACCGCTACCTCCTCCCAAACCTCCACTGCTACCGTGACCACCCAGGCCACTACTTCCACCTCCACTATGACCTCCTAGTCCTCCACTGCCACCGTATCCTCCGCCGCCACCGGAACCACCCCCTAATCCCCCGCCTCCTCCAGATCCAGATACTAATCCACCCTTCGAGCCGCCACCGTGGCTGTATCCACCACTTCCACCGCTCCCTCCATAGCCTCCGCCGCCTGCGTAACCGCCGCCTCCACTGTAACCACCTCCACCTCCATAACCTCCATTTCCACCGTCCAATGAGCCAGTGAAAGCGAAACCTCCGGATTTGCCATCATCTGATTGAGTACTGATGAACCTTCCATTTCCACTACGTGCAGCACCCGCGGCGCCTCGAGCTAAGTTACCGAATCCTTCCTGCACTTTGCCTAGTATAGACTGGATGCCTTTGCCTATCGAGTCGAATCCAGCCTCACCACCGCCGCCGCCGCCTCCAAAGGGACCTGCTCCCCCTCCTCCTCCCCCTCCGCCACCTCCGAATCCGTATCCGCCGCCGTAACCCCCGCCGCCGCCGCCATAGCTACCACCACCGTGATCAGCACCAGCTCCATACCCACGACGTACTCTCACTGTGAACGAAAGAAAAGGAAAAAAATATCTTTTATTTAAATAAATATTTTAGTTATCTAGGAACTGGTCTTACTATTATACAAAGTAGTATTTTACTGTTTTTAACCAAATTTAATTATCTCAACACAGATGTAAAGTCATTTTAATAAATCCAAATTACCTGTCGCATTCCCAAGAGCAACAGCCAGGCACAGGACTACAACAAATATAGTCTGCGCCATGTCTGCGTTATTACTTGTGCCATCACCGGTTAGCATCCTTTTATATAGCAATTATAATGAGCAAAACGCGTCTCACAAGCATTAAAATATAATATAAGTTCGCGGAAAACAATAGTTTTTTATAGATTGATGCTCCGAAACGAAGCTGTGGCTAGTCACGTGACCAGGGTTTTTTTTCATTTTAATGTAGGGTGACCACATTTTACGAGTAGTCGGACTATTAACGTTTTATAAGGAGATTGTAATAATTATATATCTTTGATATTTATCGTTTACAGGAATCGAATACAGCCTTCGCCATGAGGGCTGATGCTCCATCAACATTGATTGTAGTTTAATATAATTGCTTTTAGGTGGCTTAGGTAGGTCTCGAACCCACGATCTTTCGCAGATTAGTATAATTATTGTTTAAGAACAGTTATTGTTATTTCTCTACTTATTTTAAAGTGGATATGAAAGAAATGTTACGTAACAATCCCAGGAGCTCGAGATGGGATCCAAACCTATATGACGTTTTGTAATCCGGGCGACTGAGACCTAACGTAGAAGTAGTGGCGTATTTCTCGAGCACTTGATTTGTTACTTTTGCTATTTTTCTATAAGACAAATTAGTAATATTGAAGGCAATAAAAATATCAACTATAATATATTGTTGAAAGAACTGAATGAGTGTCTGAAATAGGAATCTATTGATTTCCAGTGGGAAGGTTTTACTTAATTCTTTACACTTAATTCTTTCACAGACAAAATTTATCTCAATGTCAAAGAACCTATCAAAATACAAATAAAATAATTGTCATACACAATTAACTGTTATACAAAAGAAAAAACAACAGCAATTAATAACTATTAACTAAATTTAAAATATAAATTTAAAGTAGGTACTACAAACATTTATTTGAAAAGAACACTTGTTTTATTTGTGTTATTAAGTTAAGAAAATGAATTGGAAGAATAAAACAATATGTAGCCGATAATGGCAATTAGATGTTGTGTGGATAAAACAGTTTCTAACTGAAATAAACAAAAAAATCTGCATTTACTTACAAAACAATAAGAGCAAGACCTGCATCGGAGTTTAACAAAGATTTTCATACCATTCATTTGGAAAATGTATTTGAAATGTGTTTATTTTTCATAATACCCAGTAATGCTACTCTGTTAAAACAGCCTCGTACTCGACGTCTAGCATAAAGCTGTCTCTGCCTAGATCTTCAATGAAATAAATATTTGAATTATATATTCTAAATGCACAAATATGTTTGCAGTAAAATGTATAATTCTGAATTTCCGTCTGTTAAAAATATTGTTTTTTTTTTGCAATCAAAGATTTTCTCATTTCTTTTCAAATTAGTCATGTATCTTATATCAATTTCATCGATGAGAGTGTAACATGGTCACTTGAAACATTAAAGTTATATAATTACCATAACGACCTTGATTTCTGCGCGATTCGATTTACTTTTCTTGATCAGTCCTGAGATTCTGTAAAATTCTAAACCCGAATTCGTATTCACTTCAAAAAGCGGCAGCCGCTCAACCTTGAACTGAGCGCTTAGTGTAAGTTTTTTGACGTTTACGTTCACTGTCGATCGTGAGCGCGTTAAGATTTTAGTATGGAATTCGGCACAGCGCCCCTAGCGGTAACTATCAAGAACTACAAATCTTCATACAAATTCTTAACGCGCTCACTAGTGAACGCGTTAGCGTAAAACTTACACTTACCACTCTGGTAATAATGTTTCGTGGCATAAGTGAAGTGAGATTCGAAATAACATAGGAATAAAATATCTAAGACACGCATGGTATTCAATGAATTTTGCTTTGTATTATTATACAGAAAATGGAATCAATAGAATTTCTACACTAAATGACGTATAATATGACGTGTAATATATATATAAAAGTATCTCTCATTTAATACTTTTAAACTTTTTTTTTTACTTTACAGATTTTCATGAAATATATTTATATATGAATAAAGTTTTCTACAGCCCTATTACAGTATTTTCAATTAATAAGGATTCATCACAGTACTTAAATCGGCCGGCCTCTATATTTTTTTCCTCACAAATTATCATAATAAAAAAGTAGCAACAAGAACATGTAATATAAACTGATTCTGTTGATTAAAACAAGAAAAAATTGTATACTGTTCTATAGAACCCCGTTCTATAACGCACCATAAGTAACACCAACAAAAAATAAAATTAAAACTTTAACTTGTTTTCTAGTTAAAATATAACTGTATTCAATAGCTTATATGATTAAAATCATAATATTAAGCTACGATATATTGACTTACAATTTTTTCTACAAAACTTCCATTTTTAATTGGAAAATTGTCGAGTGCGAAATTAAAATTTTTTATTGGTTTGAAAACTTCGTCAGCGGAAACACGGACATTTTTTTTTATGGGATAGGGGGCAGACGAGCAGGCGGATCACCTGATGGTAAGTGATTACCGTCGTCCATGGACATCTGCAACACCAGAGAGGCTACAAGCGCGCTGCCGGCCTTAGAGGGAAGGGTTGAGGGGTAGAGGGAAGGGAATAGGGAGGGGTTGGGCCTGCGGTACCCTCACTCACACGACGAAACACAACGCAAGCGTTGCTTCACGTCGGTTTTCTGTGAGGCCGTGGTATCACTCCGGTCGAACCGGCCCATTCATGCTGAAGCGTGGCTCTCCCACGGTTACAAGACATGCACTTTAAGTGGCTAAAGCAAAAGTAATTTCAATCAGTAGATTACTGAAAAATTGAGTTCTATGACGCAGTGGCGAGCGCGCTCGGTCCGCAATACGGTGTTAACGCAGTGTTAAGCAAACTTTGCAATGGCGTAGGATAAGTGCTTAGGAAGACACGTTAATCTGTTGGTCTCGTTTGCATTGGCACTTGTAATACGCACCAACCTGCACTGTCACGGCCCATTCTCCCTATTCGATCTCATTCGATTCCATTCATAAAGAGGTCCTATGCCCCAACAGTGGGGCAACATTAATAGGCTGATAATTTTAATGATTGAAATATTTTTAGCGTTGTTTCATTGTACCCCATGTTCTCTTGAGCCCCACTGTCCCTACACATTTGTATGCAAACTAATACAACAAATATAAAAATGAAGTAGGCAATTTATTTTTATTAATATAATAAAGAGGATAGATTTTTATATTTGCATTTAATAGGCTCCGAAATTACAAGACCAATTTTTAAAATTCTTTAACCTACGGTAAGCTACATAAATATAAATTTCTTAACTATAATAAAACGTATATGCTAACACAAATACTATGATTAATTTATGACTTCTTGTATTATTGAATGTTATTTCTAAGTAATATTGCATAAGTGATTAGGTTTTCAATAATGCGCGAGCATCAAGCAAGTCACGATTGTTAAGACCAGTACTTGTTATTAAATGCAAAAACCACATCCGTTTATCAGACATTTTTTTATAGACTTATAAATAATTGTGTTAGCAAATATACCGATCGATATTGTCTAAAAACCAGTGAAATTATATAGAAAAAGGAATATGCAAAAGGCAGCCTTATTGCTAATGTAGCAATCTCTACCAGGTAACAGGCTGAAGGAAACTACAAATTTACCGTCGTGAGGTCGTGACGAAAATGTTCAAGAAATTTTCAGTAACACTACTAGTCTTTTCAGCCTTTTCATTTGACTACAATTCATTACAAACAATACAATTCATTTTTTTTTTCACAGCTTCTAGAGACTATGGTACTGCTTCTACGTCCTCCCGAAATCATGGGTCGTGACAGGCAAGCGTAAAGCCGCGCGGTGTATGGCTTCCGGGCCGATCCCGTGCATCGCCTTCTATGCGAGGGACATCGCTGCGTTTTAGTTATACCCCTGCTCTTTGAGCCCCATTCTGGGGTGGGTCCACAGGGGAGAGACCCCACATAACCTCAGTTAGCCGCGCTGGCGACCCGGGTAATGCATTTCCCAGCATCAAAAAAAATCCTTTACGGATTCCATATTTTTCCTTTTGAAATGCAAAGTTCTAAAAAGTATTACATATAAAGATCTCGAGGAAATATTCTAGGAACAGTGGTTATGATCCGAGACGATTCCACTTGTGATATACGAATAAAAAATGTAAACACATGATCGTGAGATTGAACACTGAACACTATTAATAATGACAGGCAGTTTGTTGGACGCTGTATCAAGCGATATGTTTATACATATGATTCGAAGTAATTTTTTTTTATTATGTTTTCACCTTGAACTTTAGTAGGTACAAAGTACTTGTGTAATATTATCTGTCTCTTTTTCTTTCTTCTTTAATAACCGACTTAATTAGAATGTATATTGTATATATGTCCACGTATTTTTCGCTTCTTCGACATTGGGTCCCAAAGATTTTCTTTGTTTGATGATAGCTTAGACATTTTTCATTAAAGTTTTGATAATAACTTCTCAAGTTTAACCGATTCAAAAAATGGCCCAAATAAAACATAAAATTGCTTCGGAGGTTTTGTTTTTAATAATAACCGCATTATTTCAATAATAGTCGGTGTTTTGGTCAAAATAATTACATCATTGCAAATCGGAAATAATTGTAAGATCAAACAAAATCCAATCTTTTTAAGCAAAAAGTATTCAGGATAATTTATTTATAGCGTTGGAGGCAAATTTTCTTGCTTTTATTTTTTAATCAAAAACCCTAATAAAGTTGCTTATTAAGGCTAAAACATAAAATTACGAGTACAATTGGAGAAAGAAGCCATTTATATTTATTTCAAACAAAATTTTAAATATCTTAATCAACCTCCATATTTAAAATCAAATGTTTTGGAGGTGCTATGTAAATAAAATTTTGGAATAGCGATATACAGCCGTGTTATTTTGAAAAAAAAATAAAACTAAACATCGCTCTCACAGCCTGTCACTCTCACTGCATAGATGTTCAATCAGACAAAACTTTAAGTAACTTTTAAAGAAGCTTATTTATGTAAGCTATACCTACTTTTTACGAAAGCAAATAAAAATGCATAAGTTTTGTTTAGGTTT